TTCTCATACTCTACTAAGTGAAGTCTTGTGCATTGAGGTGTCTTTTTTTAGTCATGATTTGTGTGGGTTTGATTTCTTTAATATCGTTACATTAGGTTATATGGGTAGAGCATGTGGAAGCAAACTATGACCAAGTAAACAAACAATTCCAACCATTAGTTTCCTCGGCTTTTGCTTTTGGTGCAACACGTTGGCTTTCTTCTATTGTTCAACATAGTGAATGGTTACAAACTCTACAAGGACCAACCCTTGTTGCAGATAATGGAGGTATACCTACCCTACATTGTCTTCTTTAATTTTATTCAACTAACATACAATCAAAGATAGATATTTTGTCCTGGTCTTCTATATTGTCTTATGCCAATGAAAATGAAGCAAAAATAACTCTAATAATAAATGTTTAATTTTTTTAAAATTGACATGACATTTCGTTAGCGCAAGATTCAATTTGAGGCAAGATATGTTTATAGGTTAACATGAATTTTTACTCATCCTCTATTTGACAAGTAAGAATATTCTCCATTAATAGAGAGACAATTTCTTGGTTTTACATTTGTTTTCAAAGATAAAAGTTTCATATCGTTATCTTTAAAGCATAAAAATATCCGATTTTTTTCTTAATGTTGTTTTATAGGTATTTGTCTATTTATTAATAGAGAGGATCATAACCCCTGCTTCATTATACATAGCTTGTTTAATTACTTTAGTTAACTATATTTTCTTTTCTTTTCTTGAAAACAGTTCTTATATCAAAAGCTGGGAGGATAAGTTTGTTGAATGTAGCAGATAGAATGATGAGAACATTTGTTAGTGATATCAACACTTCAATTAGAAATTCATGGATTCAAATACCTTCAATTCCTGGTTCTGCAGATGTGAAGTTCATTGTTAAGAATAATAGTGATGAAATTGGAAAGCCTCTTGGTACATCAGTGGTTTTCACTACTTCTCTTTGGGTCAATGCTTCTCCATATCAACTATTCAACTTTCTTCGCCATGGAAGTTCTAGGAAAAAGGTATATACTTAATATATAAAAATGATATCAAACTTTTCATTTATCCTATTCAATTTAGTTGAGGCCTCAAAAATTAAAAATCATAATGTTTCTATACTTTAATTTTGGAATTAAAAAAAGAATAAAACTTAAACTGACCCATCAATAAAATTTAATGTATCGTACTAAATCAGTTTAAAATTTAATGCTAATTATTGATGGTGTGATGAAATACCATTAATTATATGTACCAAAAAGAATTGACCTATGAATAATGCTAATTATATTTTCAAGAGGGAAAAATGTATATACTGACGGTAAATGAGTTTTATATACTATCACAATGCTATTTAGTATGATTGATTCTTTACGATAAGTAATACAAATGTATGATGCATGATGTACTGAAAGTATATAAATCTTTAACATGACTAAGTAATTAACATGAAGTTCATATCTTATGCCATTTCTTCTAACATGTTTATGTTCTTTTCTCTTTCTGAATAATACAAATAGTGGGATTTGCTTTCACACCATCTTTCTGTTAGAGAATTTGCATATATGAACAACGGCAAAAATCTCAAGAATCGTGTTTCCTTAATGCGAGCATTTGTAAGTTATTTCTTCATTAATATGCTATCTCTTTTTTTATGCATAGTTTTACTTCAAAATCCGAATAAAACCTAACTATAAACTTTACATTATCTGCATTTTTTAGACTCCTGAAGACAAGACTGAAATCTTTTATATTCAAAAGAGTTACACAGATTCAATGGCTTCCTATGTTGTTTATGCTCCCTTAGATGAATCCTCTTTGAAAGGACTTGCAAATGGATCAAACCCTAATATTGTAATGATTTTACCATCAGGGTTTGTTATTTGTCCTTCTGGGTTGCAAGGAAATGATGATGATGATAAAAATAATGGTGCTGGAACTATTCTAACTATTGCATTTCATATTGTTGAAAGTACTAACATTAGGTCAATTATTTCTCCTGAATCAGTTGAAACACTATACAAAGTTATTACAGATACTGTTTCTGCTATATCAGATGCAGTTGTTTATAATAATATGTTTAAGACATGGCTGATGTAACATTTTTCAATGCTATAGAATAGTTTAGTATCTTCTACTCTTGGATATGTAGTGGAATTTATTGTTGAGTGTATATTACATTAATTTTACCTCATGTTTTCTATCTTTCTTTCTTGTTGATAGTATTTGATAAAAGATAGTAGATATAGTGATATTAACAAGGTTTTAGAATTGATTTAGATAGCTTGGAGGTTTTGGCTACAATTCATGCATTTCCTTTCAAATGAAGGGTGAATGCCTATTTATAGGCTTTCTACAACACCTAGAAAGGACTAGAAAATTCCATACATTTCTACCCTACATTGTCTCAATGTTTCTAGATAATTCTAGAACTATACTACTTGTTATTTTAAATCTATTGCCTTATAGTATTTACTACAACTTTGTAGAATATTCTAGAGATGCAATTCCTCTTCTTCAACCTTCAAGATGTTTCTAGAGAATTGTGACATTACCATCATTCTAGATCTTTCTAGAAAATTGCAGCATGTTTTAACACTTGGAACCATGATGAGGAGATTGTTAAGTGATGAAAGTTTGAAAATTTATTTAAAGTCTTATTTTTCTGTTATATCAGATTTGTATAATTGTTGAAACCATGAGTGTATTGTACATTATATTACAAAAATCCGGATAGTGCTAATAAATAAAAAAGGAAAACAAGGAAATGTGATTAGCGAACATAATTGATGTTAAGACAATTGTAGCAAATATGCATGAGGATTATGAGTAAGGCATTATTGATTTACCCCATTTTCCAATGATCCAGAACAAGACTTCACCTTTCGTTCCTCTACCAATTGTAACAAGCTGAATAGACCAAATTGTTTCTAACCATAAGATATTCGAGAACTTCCGACACTTTTTGTTAATTGACATACCCGTGTGAAAAGTAAAATTGTATTTTGGTTCTCGAAATAGTACAATACAAAAATCCAACTAGTTGTATATTAGTTGTCAAACTAAATAGGTAAACCTACAAGAAGAGAAGATGTGTCAAGAAGACTCAGGATGATCATTACATATAGTCTGCATAAAATATCTCGTCATTGTGATGGAACAATTTCCCTTCTAATTAATACTTTTGTAGTTGGCGGTCTATCCTAAAAGAGTGTCCATGTGAAAAAGTGACCTTCAAATGAGTCTTTGAGGTCCAAAGGAGATGATATTGATGTTTTGAGTATGTTTCCCTTGGTGTGCCTGCTTGATATTGGTGTGCCTGCGCCTATAAGCTGAATTGAATAAATAAAGGTTTGATTTGTTATGAACTCACCCACGAGTCTTGTATGTCTATTCTGCAATTTTGTAAGTCCTCCAAAAGAGAATCGATTAGTTCAAGTTCGAAAGTAAAAGGTTGTATACACCAAGTTAGATTTCATTCCCAATTATCCTACCACCATCTTCCAAGGTTACTTATTAAAGCATATATCCCTACATTGACTTCAGTTGAATAATTTCTCATAAGAAATAAGTGGATCCAATATCTTAACCTAACAAATTTAATATGGTATTTAAGATATGAAACTCTCACACCTAATATATTAGTTTTTCAATTTGAGCTATTGTCTCGACCCGATTTTCGGTTGGAAGAACGACCCTGCAACTTGGGGAGAGGTGAACTCAATTTCTACCTCTTCCAATTGATTTGGAGTCGCCACTACGTTTTTTGCGGATAAAACGTAGAAAACTCTCTATATGCTCAATTTGGATAATTTGGTCTTTAATCAGAGATTCTGAGCTCGAGAGTCGATTACGAATCGGGGAAGGTATTAACACCTCGTCCGCCCGTATTAAAGCGGTACTCTCGCTAATAACATGAACTTTTGTACCATTAAAAATTATTCATAAAAATTCAGTAATAAAAGCAAAATGTTTTATTTTTTATTGTTGTGTCTGACAAGAGTTTATCTTACTCCTACGTATCCCTAGGTGCAATAGGGAAATCAAGGCTATGTAGTTCTGATTCGAAAATTAATTGGTTGATTTTGTAGATTTGAAGATATCGATTTGGTTGACTAATAAAATAAATTTTTACTAAAACATTTTGATATGGAATTAATAGTTTAGAGACGGCACTAGTCGTAGACCTACTTCTCATTTTCAGAGAATTTAGAGACAACACGGACCATAACCTTACTATAAGAAATTTCATTTAAAATCACTTGAATAAATAATGATTATTTTTGAAATATTTGATATGGAATTAATAGTTTAGAGATAACACTCGTCGTAGACCTCCTTCCCATTTTCAGGGAATTTAGAGACAACACATGTCATAACTTTGCTATAAACTCCTTTTAAAATCATTTGAATAAAATAAATTTCTTTAAAATATTTGACATGAAATTAATAGTTTAGAGACGACACTGATCGTAGACCTCCTTCCCATTTTCAGATAATTTAGAGACAACACATGCCATAACAGTACTATAGAATTCCATTTAAAATCATTGGAATAAATAATTATTATTTTTGTATTTCTATAAGGACTTCTAATAAATCAAGGTTAAAATTTGCCATAAAAATAAAGGGCTTAGTACCATTTGCACGTGATAATTATCTATAAAAATAAACACAAAAGTGTATAACATTTATCAATAAAGAAAGGAAATGCATTAATTTAAATTTTATTATCATTATTAGCAACAAAACAAAAACCCACTACGAAAGTAACCAGGTTGGGGGAAGGGGTTTCTTTTGTTTTCACTCATTTGGGAATTGAAGGAGTTAGGGAGTATATGAGAAGGAGAGGGGAAGTGAGAAGACGAGAGAAAATGCGAAGACGAAGAGGATTCGGTTCTCCGGTATCCTTCTCCGATTCTCTTCTCCGTTAACGGTGACACGGTGGTTTCGACGAAGGTAAACCCTTAAACCTCTTTCATTTCAATCTTCTTCGTTATTCGTCCGTATTTGATCCTTCTTCTCTTCGGTTTCGTCGATAGCGGCTACGGAAGTGAAGAAAGCCAATTGAAGGTGGTTGAGGTGATTCTATCGATAGCACTATGAATCCGCTTTGTGAAGACAGGGAGAACCGCCATTGCCAACTTCGTCCATTCAGAATCACCATCCTTGGTGATGATTCGAAGGGTCCAAAATGGGTTCTTCAGAGAACCCGGGTTTGAGCGAAGGTAAACCCCCTAACTCTCTACTTTTTCTTTTTTAGTTAAAAGTTAGAAATCAAAACCGAAAGATGATGCACGATTTGTAAACATACTTCTGTGTAGGTTTTTTTATATATATGGCTATGTGATTGCCTTACCAATGATTTACCTTTCAAATGCACGATTCACCTCTGTCTGACTTTAATCTGACTGGAAGTCCCTCTTCGATTGCTTTGATTCGTCCTGAATGTATACCTTTAACCCTTTTGGAGGTTAACCCTCTCTTTTTGGTTGTTTTTTTCAATATGTATGACCCTTTTTGTGTAATGTCTGTCTGTTGTTCCTGGATTATGATGTGTGATATGTGGGATATCAAGGTAGATAGCTATGAGTATGGTTTCTTTGGGTTATTTTGTGTTTTTCTGATTCGCGATATGTGAGTGATGGCTGGATGAGGAAGATAAGAGTTCTCTGGAAGCTCTGGTTATTGGTAAATGTCAATGTGTGTATGTCTCTCTTTTTTGTGTGTGATATAAGAGTATGTGTGGGTATGTGTATGGTATTGTTATGATGGAATTGTGTGGTGGGGAGGTAGATGAATGATCTCTATTTCTCAATGGTGTCCCCCCTTTGTATGTGTGTTGTGTTCCCTTTTATAAGGGTTTTTCAGAGAACCTCTTGATCTGCTCATTGATAGCCAGAAACATCCATGGCTATTGGTTTTCTAATTACTCTCTGAAACTCTTAACTCTTGGTTTTTATTTGTAGTTTGGTAGTTATAATGATTGACTTTTGATTAATCCTCCTGAATTTCTGATGGGCTGATTGCTATTCCTTTTTCTTGCCAGCTCATGCGCTCTTTAAGGTTGCCCATTAATACAGCCACCTATCCTGATTGCAAGTTAACAGCCTGCAACGCTGCCGTCTAGGATTTTAACTTATGGCTAGTTATTTAGAGGTATGTAACAACTATAAGCCTTTTTAATTGTTTCTCATTGCTGGACTTTCTCTTATTTCTTTGATTGCTGAAATGATAAAGGTCTCTGATTTGTATGTTTGAACAGATTCATCATCGGAAGGTACCAACACAAGTTCAACAATATGGAAGTTTCCCTCTTCCTATGCATCAGCTAGCATTATAAAAAATTGAGCATCTGAACCTTGTAAGGTTACCTGGATACACAGAGCATGGAGAGGAGAAGACTGTTGTTGTTGAATATGTTAGTAATGGAAAATTTAGAGAACATGTATATGGTAGGACTAAGGCTTTGTTAAGTCATCAAATTCAGAAATCACATATTCAGATGATAAAAACAATATTCAATGACTTTTATCCATTATTGTTATGTGCTACATATTTCAGCTTTTGGGATGTGCTTCAATTCAGTTAGGACAATATTCAAGGAAATAAAACCAAATACATCACAATTTTTTGTTAAACACATCACTTTCCAATAAAACCTTTATTGGTTACAATTGTCTAGCAACTGGTAGCAATTGATGTTGCCCATGCAATCACTTACCTTCATATGTACAATGTACATCCGCATTATAATAAGATGTGTTCTTTATTTTTTTTGAATTTTTTTCGAATCTTTTTTTTTATTCTATAGAATAGGCCGGACAAAATTGGGTGTTCACAGCTATCTTCATGTTAAGTCATAACAATTAGTGTTTAGAGTTGTGCCACAAAAATAACTATTATAAGGTAGATTAATGTATATTACCAAATATTAATAGGTGGGTGAAATTACTAAATATTAATAGGTGAATGAAACTACTAAAATAGAAGCAACTATCATCGAGTTAGTTAGTGTCTACAAAGTGAAACTCGTCATAAGTATTACCTCTTAAAGGGGTCTCTCATATAAGAGATCAGTCTTTTCAAGATCATAGAATGCATATTTGTAACAATAGATTAGTTATGAAGATCATACATACCTTGCATACTTATTGGAAATTACCCTTCATTACGTTACATTAGTACTCACTTTTGTTTTTCGTATCTTGACAAGTGCACTTTTTCGGTCATTCTTTAGAAATTATTTTCTTATAAAAATAATATAAATTGTTTTATTAACTATTGCCCTAAAGGTTATAACGATGAATGAGTAACTCAAAAAAATGTATTGAAAATTAAAAATATGTATTGAACAATGAAAATATGTATTAAAAACCATCATTTGTTGGCTTCATAACTTATGACAAATATGGTTAGCTAAATATCTTAAACTTTTAAAAAGATATAACTGGGTTTTCTTTAAAAAAAAATACATTTCATAAATTAAATTTTCATTTAATTTAATTGGAATATAAATATATAATGATAAGGCTGAAAGATATAATCAATATTTTTTTCTTCTAAATAACAAAAACACAGAACAAATCTTTTCAAAAATAGAATAGTGTTAAACAGAATTTTTTACTAAAAGTAAAATTAAAAGTATTGCCACAACATCTTAATCCCCTATACTTAAGGAGTACAAGTTGTTTATGTCACTTTTCTATGTCACTTCTATGTGTCATCAATTACAAACTCATAATTATGTTTTGTTAACTTTTGGTTAATTATTATGGTGCAACTTTAATTGACGTGTCAATTTGTAACCGGTAGCACATAGAAGTGATATAGACTAACTTGTACTCGTATTTAACGTGTCTTAAATTAATTATCTATATTTTCAAGAGTTGATCATAATGTCACATCATTTAAAATACTCAACACTTTCATCATAACAGCTTTTAAAATTTTGGTAAATGACTCTCACAATCTAATTAATATGTATTCTTAAATGAGTGCAAGATCATATGGGGTGTTTCATTTTTTGCATTTTCCTATAATTTGAGTGTTTGTTCTATAAGGTACGTTGAATTATGGGGATATTGCATGTCCTTACTCTATCTCTCTATATAAATTATAGATAATTTGTGTATTCTAAAATAAAGAATATTATATATAATTTTACTAAAACTAAAGTGAGAGTAATTTAGTAAAAAAATAAAGTTTAAGATTATATTTGGTTGGGGTGAAAAAGGAAGAGAGTAATTTAGTAAAAAAATAAAGTTTAAGATTATGTTTGGTTGGGGTGAAAAAGGAAGGAAAGAAAGTGAGAGGAATGTAAAAGGAAGGAAAAAATCTTTTCCATTGTTTGGTTGTATTGAAAAGAAGGAAAGGAAAAAAATGGCGAGACTCATGTCATTATGTTTTCTCTCCGATATTGAGAGGAAAACTAGTACAAAAAATTAGATTAGGATCGACTGTCCTAACGTATGTCTCAAACCAATGACAATGAAGGAAAATTGAAAAAATAATAATTATTTATTTTTTAATTGACATGACATATTCTCATTAGTTTAGGACATATTTTGAGACAACATATCATTGTCCAAGAAAATTAGTGATAGATTTTCTCATTGCTAACTCCCTATACATTTAAAAATTTCATATTTCCTATTAGTTACACTTATAAATGTCAATAATTTCCTAAAAATCCAAAGAAAACAAACTAACACATGCATGTTATTATCATTATTAATAAACAACAAGACATTAGTTTAGTGGTGTAAAATCTCACTAGATCCACAGAAAGATCAAAACGTAAAGATTTTGATCCTGAGATAGACACTTATTGGGAGAGACAATCATACACCATAAAATTGACTAGTTCCTTACCCGTAAGATGATGATGATGAGATACTTTTGGTAGTGCAAAATAATGTCATTATTAATAATTATTATATTATTTTTTTCTTCACTTTCTTTCCATTTTCTATCATACCAAACAACTAAAAAATCACCGTATTTTCTACTCATTTTCTTTTTTCACCCCTTAACTTTTCTTTCATAAATAGAGTCTAAAACCATAACAGAGTAATTAATTGTTGAAAAAGCTAAGAAAAATCCAATTGAAGGAGAAAAAGAGAAAATATGTTGGGAAGATTCAGATAAAGAAACCAAATACTTTTTTTGGTATCACCAATAGTATCTTCTGACTATTTGGATAAGAAAGTAATATCTTTTGTGGTGTTGAATGTCCTTCCTAACAAATGTCACTTACAAAAATGAAACAATTGAGCATTTAATATTTCTACTAATCTAGCCAAATCTTAGATAATTAATCTTACACATTGTTTGGTAAAGAAACCAAATAGGAAGAAGCTTCTCATAATTAGTGCAAAAAAAGACAATTTAGGAATTTACCAAATTCACCCAAGATTATTCTTGTACGTGTTTTAGTTGGTCTTTAATTTAATTTGGAGGGATAAATTCTAGAAAAAAGTGTTCTTTTCCACTTAATTCCGACATTAATATTTATAAATAATATTTGAATTTTTTGTTCAATAATTAGACTATTATCGGTTTCTCTCTTCTCAAGTCATGTTTTGATTGGAGATTACTAACACATTAAAATTATTATTAGTAATGCAAACAAAAAATAAAGTTAAGGATAGACAAAAAAAAAGTTATTGGACCAAACTTGGAAAAACAATTAAAATAATGGACAAAAAGAAAGTTTTGCATAAATTCCAATTTATTCATTTGATTTTTTTTTGGTATATCAGAAATAAAAACAATAAAACTAAAGCACGTGACTGCAAGATGGATAACGCTCGTATATAAACATTGAGTGATAGATTTTGAAGTTCTCGTAGTTCAAGTTCATTTTAGTCATATAATCTATCACATATTGCCTTCTCGGTAGTTATGATGTAGTTATGGTTCGATTCATGATAGCGACATTTGTTGGGAGGATAATTATGCATTCTGAAAGAGATTAGTTTTTTACTCATAGAATGATGAGATACTCGTGGTAGTACTTAGGGGTGAGTATGACCTTACCATACTCGCTCACCCTATCTGATCATGATCAGGTCCAAATAGGGTCGAGTCTATGGTTGAGTTCAGGTTCAAAAATTAGACATAGACAATATTTAGGGCCGAGTATGGGACAATCATGATCTTGTCCGACTCGTACCATGATTACTCACTTATCATGTTTGTATATATGTCTATTCAATTGTGTACACAATAATGATATCTCTTTGATTGAAAGTACCACTGCTTCTCTATTTTTTCGTCATATATATATATATATATGATTAACAATATATATACATATATAATTTGATATGTCAAATTACATATCCATGATAACAAGTAAAATATTGAGAATGATTTATCTAAAAGAGATATGCATTATATTTAATCAGGTCTAAAGTTAGGTTCGGGTTCAAAGGATTTCTTATTCGATATTTGGAATCAGGTTAGCTTCGACTCTAAGGTCGAGTCCGAATTAAAAAATGATCATTCCAATATTCAGGGTTAGCTAAGGGAGAAACCTTAGTCAACCGAACCGAAGCATGTTCACCCTTATTACTACAAAAGAAAATTATTTGCTCCTCAATAAAATTAAGGAACATTAATTACTTTTATTCCCTTGCTAATCAAAACATTTTATTTGAAAATAATGTATCTCCTCATACCAAGAGATAACTTATCTCTTCCTGCCAGTAAAAAAATGACATATGTATTGTTTTGTTTAGTTCTAGAAATATTTTTATAGAAAATGATTAAATGGTACACATGTCACGATTTTAGTGGTGGAATGAGATAATTTATCTCCTTATACCAGAAGATACATTATTATCTTATTTTATATCATTTTGTCAAAACACTTTATTTTATATTGCTAATCAATCTACTCTCAACATATCTATATATATCACCTCATAACCAAGAGTAAGATAGAGCTTAAGTTAAATAATTTGATGCATGATTAAGACCACAACCAAATCAAAAAGAGAATATAAATGGAGTGAGATTCTATTTATTTAGGACAAACCTTAAAAATTAATTTTGTTTAAGAATACTTGTTTATTTTGATATGACACCCATGTTTGACATTACATTCATACAAAATAAAAGAATGCAAAAGACTAGGACAAAAAACAATGTAGAAGAATAAAATAAAAAACAATGTAAAAAAAAGGAAATAAAGTTTTTTGTGGTGTGTTTGTTAAATTCAAATAAATTTTATGCACTTGATATGATATTGAAAATGATTGAAGTTAATTTATGTCTAACAATAAATATTTTTATACATGATTGAAATAAAAACTTCGATATCACAGATAAAAAACTAGCTGTCTAATAAACATAAATTGGAATATTGAAGAAAGTCCATATTTAAATTTTATGACCCATGGTTAATTGAAAAAGTCCAATAATAAAAAAGGAGCATGATCCGTGCTGTTATTTAAAAGAAAATAAAACAAAAAATATTAAAGCAACTACTAAAAAAATAAAAATTAACATGACTCTAATTTAATAATATATAAAGTAGTTGAGTAGATTTTTGTAGGTCTAGAAATGAGACCATCATCTCAACCTTATCATTTACCTTAACCAGCTTAG